AGAACCTAAGGAATTTGAAAAAAAAAAAGGATTTGTCTTTTTTCTTGTTTGTTTATTTAAAGTCCAACTGTCTCTGTCCTACTGGGGTAAGGGCTTTTTGAAGGTAGAGACTGTGGCTATCTTTTTTTTTTTTTCTGAAAATAGAGTCTGGGACATGGAGACATCCAATAAGTACTATGACTTCTTCAAGTCTGACCCAGATCCATTTTCTCTGCAGAACTGCCCCTTTGCCATTGGTCTTTACTGTTGAGCTTGGATTTAGATCTCTCCCTACTCAGTGTCCCTCATCCTCCAAAGCCCCCCAAAGAATGGCCTCTCTCAGTAGCAATGTGACCATTACACTTCTACACTTCCAAATCTCACTCCAATTTCAATGAATTTGGAAAAGATTTAAATAACCTAATATTAATCCCAAGTAAGAAACTGAAGTGGAGGGAGGGTGGAACCACTAACCCATAGCAGCAGTTACCTCTATCTCATAAATACTTTCCAAGAGGCACAATACTGATCACTTTGATCTTTTAATCCTGTAAACTCTGTATTATTATGTCTATTTTCAACAAAAGAAGACAAAATATCTTGTCTAAGACCACATAACTGGCAAGCCAAAGAGTCATGATTTAAAGCCAAATTGGTCTGACTCCAAAGTTTCCAGTATTAATTCCACTTATATGTCAGAATAGTTGCACTTACATATTGTAAGTGATGTTATCCCAAAGAATATTTAGGGCTTCATATATAACACAGAGAGGTCCAGGAGGCAGAATACACAGAGAATATTTCCTGTCTTCCTAGTGGATGTTTTTCCCACTTGTGCTTCCACAAGCAACTTTTAGTCCCATCTTTTCTTCAAACCCCTGGCCTTTATCCAGATGCACCTCAGGGTCAGTGTTCTCAAGGAGAAAACCTCTTTGAAAATATACCTTGCTTTTCCAAATCTTGGAGTCTAAATTTTAGGTAAGAATTAACCTTTATCCCTATTACCACTAACAGACACTCCAACAAGCCAAGAAAAGGGGAAAAAAACATATGAATTCTTTACTATATTTATTAAAGTTAAAATTGACATCATTTTGGGAACCATGAATTTGGTACCCAAGTTAGTGTCTTGAAATCTTGGGTAACATGAAAATTCATGCAGCCTTCACCTAAAGAAGCCATGGTGTATAAAAAACATATCCAATCTGATTCTGAAATGAATATTCAAGGTTTCATTCGAGCATTGCTGATCTCAGGGTGAAGAGCACCTTCAATGCCAAGCCCTCCCCTGGTACAGAATTTGGCTCTGCAGATTTACTAAACAAGTATGCAAAAGGCTATGACAGTCTAAGGACCAAATGTGAGCCCCAAGAGGTCATCGAGGGTCTTCAAACTGCACCAAATTAAAGCACAGCAATCCATCACTTTTTCAAACTATGCATTTTCCCAAGTGAAGAAAGTGACTAGAGCATACTGAAGTCCAGTGTGAATGATCTAATGCTGGTACCTTCTTTTCCTCATTTCTAGTCAAATAGTATCATTGTAAAGATGTGATTTAAAAATCAGTTCATTGTTAATTTTTTTTCTCACATTTCTGCAACTTAGAGAGTGGTATAAAGATGTGAGCCACTGTCTTCGGCTCTAAATAAAGCCTGAGAACCCTTTTGAATAGTTCTAACAATCCTGTCATTTGGCCCTGAAGCCAATCTCAGATATGTCCAGAATCTTTATGAGGAAAGCAGTGTTGGTTTTAATCTCTATCAGAATGGATTAGACTTATTCTCTGGCTGCAATAGCCCAGCCATTTTTTCACAGTCTGATTGACCAACGGCACTTTGGCAGCAAATTTTATTTGATGCTCCAGAGCAGTTGCTCATCATGTCTTCTAAAGAACATCACAACTTTATGGAACTACCTGGGAATTGGGACCAAAAAGGGAAACTGTTGGGTCCAGTAATATTTCATGTTTCAGGAGGAGATGTCATGCAGTGGTGCTAAAAGCCAAGGTGTTGATTATTTTATACCACCTGGAGAAGGCTGTCTGGCTGCTCATAAGCTATTCCTTCTAGAACTAGATGTAGAGGTTCCATTTATAAGATAGCTCAGAAAGCTTATAGGGGAAGAATCATACAGGTCATCAAGCTCCACCTACTTTCGTTTTTCAGATGGAAGAACAAAAGCCCACAGAGATGTTACTCAACTAGAAAACAAGAGAGGCACTAGAGAAATTGTGTCCCCAGTTGGTTGCTCCTGTTACCACATGATGCTATGACCACTGGGGGGAAAATGATTACTTTCTATAGAGAAGATGTAGAGTTGAAAACATCAAAAGCAAAGAATCTATTTAGATTCTTTGAATTGGAGATAGAGAACACAGTACTGTGTCATCACAATTATCCTCTGAAAGCTGGGCAGCCTACATACCTCTAAGTCATCCTCATGGTTCCCACTTGATGGTACATTCAGCAGAACCTAAGATATCTATAAACTTCCAACTGATCAACACCAAGCATCTTACCCATAACCACAAGAAACACTCATTTCTCTTTAGGATTCCACTTCCTTCTAATTCCATACATCACTTTTTTTTGTTTACTTGTTTTTGCTTTCCCTTTATGCTTCTCTCCTCTCTAACTTAGCTCTAACCAGAGCAGTGCTCATAGCATTACAGTTACAGAAATGCTTAAGTCCATAGGTAGAACCAGTAAAAATAAGATCTCTACACCTACATTTCTTTAAAGTGAAATATAGGCTTTGATTGCTTTTAAAGTTAATATAAACATGATAAATGAATATATACACACATATATGTATATACATATAACTAATCTAATATATATATTTATTTATTTATTTATAAAATGGAAGATACTTTTAAATAACAGTATCCATGGATGCGTATCCCTCTGTATCTATGAGTTATATATCCATGGATTCAACAATAATAGATGGAAAATATTGTGTCTGTTCTGAACATCTATTTCTTATTGTTCTTTGCTAACCAATTCAATGTAATAACTATTTACATAGCATTTGCATGATATTAGGTATTATAAGTAATCTAGACATAATTTAAAGGATATAGAAGGATAAGCTGAGGATGTGGCTCACTGGTAGAGCATTTGCCTGGCATGCATGAAGCCCTGAGTTCATTTCCCAGTACTTCAAATTAAACAAAAAAATAAGAGGATGTATATAGGGTTTCTGAAAATAATGTGGCATTTTAAAATAATGAACTTCATCATCTGCAGATTTTGGGTATATATATATATATATTCCTAGAACAATCTCCTGTAGAGAATGAGGAGCAACTCTGTGTGTGTGTACGTGTGTGTGCCTGTGTGTGTGTGTGACAATTTATATAGAGAATAATGCTTTTAAATTAACATATGAGCCTTAACAATTTGAATTGCTAATTTCCTTATAAATTTATTTAAAAACCTAAATCATCATCTTTTGCAGAAGACAATATAGAGGATGACATGGAGCTTCCACTTGAATATTTTCCAACTTAGTACATTATATAGGCTAGTCTTTAGGATGTGCGCCAGGATTCCTAGAGGACCCAGAATCAGGCTTTTACTCATAAATTGTTGGGGAGCCTCCATGAAACTCAGACAACTGTTTTAGAACCTGCATCCTGCCCTTGTTTATGAATATTCAATAGCTAAAATGCACAGCAACATGAGTTGGACTTCAGCTACAAAGTAAATATAATTTTTAGTGCACCTGAGCATTGTGCACATTATAAGTCAGAGAAAAAGTATCTAGGTTGAAGTCCTTAAGGTAGGAACATTTGTATGCTTATTGCTGAAGTGAGAGACCTGGACTTTACTAAGCAAAAGGTATGAATCAGTCTCATAGTAGGCAAAGCAATTCAAATGGCTTGAGTCTAGTCCAAGAAGACTCACCCCATGTTAGCTCTTTAAAGCTTTTTTTTTTTTTTTCTAGCATGCTAGTTTACTTCAGCAAAGTCTTAGTTTTAAACAATGGAAGAGCAACACTATTTGTCTGCATCTCCTTCCCCTGTCACTGGTCTTTTAATCCCTTGACCATATTCCATTTTGCTTCACCTGGAATACACTCTGCCTGCAAATAAAGGTGGAGGAGGAACACAGAGGCAGAATTCCTCACTGGCACCTCTGCCCTGAGGCCAAGGCAGACTAGGACAGTCCAGATTCTTGTGGTTTCTCTTCCTGAGGCATAGAAGCTGAGGAGAAAAATCGTGCTCATGATTCTGTATTCTTATTTCCCAGTAGAATGTGAAGGACTCAGTAGGGATAAGGGAAAGGACCAGAGGGAGGGAAGAAGAAGCCAAGGAAGCATCAGGTGGCAGTTTGTGACGGGGATGCCAAGTCTTCTTTGATGCTGTTGGAGAGGCACTGCTGACAGTTTGGATAGACTCACTCTCACTCTTCAAGCTCGGGAGAATAATTATCCATCCTTCCTCAGCAGCTTCAGGAGAACCCTCCCCCCAACACCTAAATTACACATATTGAAGATGAATAGTCCATCTCATTGGCACCTAGACTTCTGCTGATAGTAAAATATCTCCATCCCTTTCTCCTTCTTCCCACCCACCAATACTTCTCACCTCTCTGAACCATCTCCTCCCCCCATGCCTATCTTTTCCATCTTCATCCTTTTATGTTTGGGATTCCATCTCCATAGAGAGAGGACAATTAGAGGCCCTGATTTTAAAGAGGCCAGCCTGTCTTGCCTTACCACGGAGCCCTGTCTGTTGCCCTAACCTTTGGGCCCCTGGGCCTACATGACTACCCTCACTTCCCCTATATATTTATTAAGCTCAGTCTTTCAGAGCAGGTAGTAGTGTTCAGGGCATCCTTTAAGTTTCCAATCCCTTCCAGCGAGCATCTTCCATTTCTGCGGACTTGGAAGGGAGGGGGTTGGACTTGGGGGAATGCTCACAGAGAAGCATGTTTGTGGATTTGCTTGTCAGAGATGAGTATGGTGTCCTGTGGGTACATGCTAATGGGTCTGTCTCTCTTTCCCCTACACAGGGCCTGGAGCAGTCATTGATGGTGTAAACTCGGCCTCTAGAGCGCTGGCTTGTCTGTGGCTCTCAGGGACCCTCTTTGCCCACTTCTTCATCAAGTTTTGATAAGAAACCCTAGGTCCTCTGAGCAACGCCTGCTTCTCCATATCACAGACTTTAATCTACACTGCGGAGGGCAAACCAGTTTGGGCTTCTTTTTGTTCACTTGTTTCTGTTCTTCTTCTTGATATATTTTTGGTTTTTTGTTTTTCCTTTTAATCGTGATTTTTTTTTCCAGTTGGAATGAGTGGGGTTGGGGGGAGGGGTGGGCAGGGTTCTACCATGTGTAGGATAATCATTTATTGGTGTGTCCCAAAATGGAATCTGCTCCTGCAATCTTGGCCCTTCCTTTTTGTCTGCTTCTCTTCCCATAATCACTACAAGCAAGCAACTTTCATGCACACATACATGCAGACACACACACACAAATACACATCCCAAAACATAAGTTTCAAGTGAGCAAAGAAAATGTGCCTCATAAACACCCTGAAGACACAACTTGATTAATAATATGATACACAGTAAGAGTTATATCCATGTGTCTTGTTACTTCTGTCTCTTGAGCTTTGAATCATTTTCTTGATTATAATGTACATATCTTCCATCCAAATGATTGTCAAATCTCATTAGGGTCCATATCTTTTCTTTCTAGAGAGTTATCTCACTATATCCAAATATGTGTATTTGTGTAAGCCACACATATACACAAACAGACGCACACGTACATATAAAATCTTGCCAACTTCTCTAATCACTTTGCCCTATTCATTTTTCCACTAGCTATGGGCATTAGAAGCTAGGGGCTATGCATGCAACTAAAATTTAATCATTTAGAAGTCAAATGACCAAAAGAAAAACAACAACAATTTAAAAAATGGGGGAAGTATATTAAGGGGAGTACTTCTCTTTTACAACACATAAAAAATGATCAATAGATGGCTGTTTAGGTTTTATCAAGTGATCTATAAAAGTAATCATATGGTTATTCATCTACTCAATTGTCTGATTTATCTCTCCATCCAATTGTCTACCCACCTGTCTTTCTCTCTAGTGATCTATTTACTCTATTTATCAATCTATCAATGTAATTATCTAACACGTTTTTTTATTTCTCTCCCCACTACTATCAGTTCATCACTATATTAATCTCTAATCATATTTTGTCTATTATACTTCATTTTGTCTCTCCTCTACCATCAACAGACATTGGCATCTTCAAAATTTCCTATCAACTTATCATGTGAAAGCCAATGATCTCACAGGCTCACAACATAGAAAAGCTGTACCCTGTGTCATGGACTCTTTGGAATGTGGAAACCCATCCACCCAAATTAAACCCTGTTAACAGATGGACCAAAGTAGCAATGTAAACCAGTCACTCACTATTCCCAGGAGAATCTATAGTTCCTAAAACATCTTCTTGGGAAGCAGATCAGCTCTGGACAAACCTTGATTAGTACTGCATTTCCTCTTTCATGCTCAAAGGATTGTACTACCAACTTTCATGCTTCTCTCAGCCTTTCCAGAAAGTGCATGTCAGGAACTTACAAGACCTTCTTCAAGGCAGATTTTCCTTAGGAGCAAGAACATGAAGGAAAACACACATCTGTGTCTGCAATGTAAAGTCAGCAGTCCATTCTCCAAAGTGGACTACTTCTAAGTGTTTCCTTTCTGGTCCCAGTTCTGGTTTGATCTGTTTGAAAACTATCCAGTAAAAAGCTGATGGAGGCCAATTACATGGCGGGTGTGTTGACAACTCTGGTATTTGTTTCAGGAAGCTCTTCTGAGCTGAGGGCACTTGAGCAACTGACTTAATTTCCAAGCACTTGATTAACACAACACTGCAAACAGAAGGGGGAAAGTGTAAGTGACACAGTTTCCTCAGATACAGGCTGCTTCTCTAATGGCTTTGGGAAGGATGTCCCCAGCTTCCTGTGTTCAAACAGACCTAGCATATAAAGAAGAGTGGACTAGATCTTTCCACACTCTCCTGGAACAAGAAGGACTCAGCCAACAAGGGAGCCTGAGATTTAAAAAAAAAAAAAAAAAAAACAGCATAAAAACCACATGAGGGCATGAGAAAGAGGGGATGCTTTTCTATGCATCAATAATGACTTTCTTACAGACCTGCCCTGCCTCAGTTGGAAATCTTTTTCAGGCCTACATCATAGAGAATAAATATGAACTCTATAATAGAGTTCCATTCCCTTAGTGCTTAATTGATCTCTTCCTCCAATGTAAGTGCCCTCTTTGTGTTTTTCTGCTATGGCAACATGAATATGACACCCGGAGTGGGGAAATATATGTACAATTGAAGACTGCCTTGGCATATGGAAAGCTAGGCACTGTCACAAGAAGTAGAGCTAATGGGAACAAAATTAATATTGCATTTGCCAGTTGTCAACAGACATCTTTTTTTCCTAGTGTGCTACTAGGAACCAGGTTCTGGGAATATAAGTGATGTGCCGAAAAGAGCCTTTTGATTACAACTTCCAGAGACAATCATGAACCGGCACAAACTCAGAATTAAGGTCGGGCATGGACATTTCATATCTATTCCCACACTCAGCATCTGGAGTTGGGTTGGTGTCAGACATTTTATGAGAAATAAATGTGTCATTTGAGTGTTCTACTGGTACTAAATTGTTACTTTGGAGTAAAATAAATGTAAAGGCTTTGGGGAGTGGATGGTGTTGGAGAACATGGTGCTTGGAATGGACAACTTGTACCTGTTCCTCACTCTAAGAACTGTTATGTTGCAAGGGGTCCATCCTCTGGCCAAGTATATCATTGTATGCTTTCAAACCCAACAATACTGGGCTTAAGGTCACCATGGAACTCTGTTCTGTCTTGTTCCACTGGATATTAGGAAACATCTCTGATGGATACCTATTCCAGCCATGTTTCAGAGTGAAAAGTATGCTAAGTCCAATCCTCTTCTTTCTAAAATACAGAAAACCAAGAACATAAGACCCAAGGCAACTGGGATACTGGAAGTGAAATGACTTTTCATTACAATGGACATATTCCAGCTTCTGTATTATTTGAATCACTTTGGTGGGAATGGCTCCATGGGATTAGAGCTGTTGCCCAATATCTTGAAGTATATAGTAAATGTTTACTAAAGATGGCATCCACACTTACACATGCTTTTTCAACATTACATATGAAGGGTGGGTGGATAAGCCCTGCTGGACAGATTTGTTCGGAGTGCCAATGGTGGGGGTAAAAAGGGGATAAGGGCAGGAAAAAGAAATATGTCTCTGGGCAATATATCATTTGTGGGTTTACCACATACAAAGGAAACCAAGTGCAGCTTATCAGATTAGGTGAGAAGAATTCAGCAACAGCAGTTATTTGAAACCCTTCCCTTTCCCCAAAGTTAATATGTACTACCACCAAAGTAATGCCAATGAAAGTGCTAGTGTTAAGGCTCCAGCCAAGCTGTTTTTTCAGTAGTTTAATGCCAAGTGCCTGATACAGTCATCTGCAAGTCTAAACAAGTGAATTTAGTTTTTTCTTATTCTTGTTTTATTGGGGAGGGTGAAGATGTAGGGGAGCAGTTGTCAAAACATGCACATATTTTTTATAGAGAGTACACTGCACAGTATTTTAGCTGCAAGTGTGCTCAAAATGAACAAAAGAAGAGGGAAGATTCGGTGTTGCAAAGAAGAATGGGCCTCTCCCCTCTGAAGTTCACACCTCTTACTGGAGGATACTTTCCAAGTTAGGCTGTTAATTGGGAAGTGTACTCTGAGACTCTTGGGGATCCATGATGGAGGCAAATGTCAGGGTCTGAGTCTGCATTAAACCTGTCAACTTGCCCTGAACAAGGAGGAGGTAGCAAGTTCTATTTACATTGAAGAACTATTACATCAAAAGAGCAGAGAATTCTAAAGTGGGCAGTTGATCCCAGGGAGAGCTTATTAGTAACATGACATCACAAGTGGATAGAAATTGAATATTTGTGGTGCCAATGGGCAAATTTTCTCTGTAGTTGTTACATGGCTGCCCCATCATAGAAAGAGGGAAGGGAGAGGCTTAAAATGAAGGACCCCTGGTGAAGAGTTTCTTTCCCCAGTTGGACCCTGAGTTCTCACTGAGAAAGTAAAGCTGGCTTTGAAATACCAGGACCAGCACTCCCCCAACACACCCTCACCACAAACAATATTAACTCCCTTTACAATTAGGGGAAGCAACAAAGTTTTTCTTTTGTGTAAAATGCATTTTTTTCTCTAATGGCAAGAATCTGTTATATTTATTTTGCACAACCCCCATTCCTGGAAATTCTCATACCCAATTGCTTCCCCTCCCATCAAGGCTTCTCTGTCTCTTTCTTTTAAGACAAATAAGTTTGAACAGTTGCGGTAAAACTTCACAGGTGTGTAACTAGGAAGACAACATTTTGAAAGAGATGCCATATGATGAGGACTCCTAATGATCACTAAAAGCAAACAAATAAAAATGCCAGTCTCATTTCCCTCATTTCTTCCTTAAGAGAAGAGAAGTAAATGAAAGGAAGAAGAAATAGTTTTGCAATTAAAAGATGTAGCAAAATGATATGGGTGAACCAGTGCAATTTAGCCTTCAGGTGCAAAATACTTTGAGTCCAAAGGAATGTGAGGTGGACTTAATTAGATGCAATTGTCTTTATCCTGAAAGTTGTCAGCTAAACCTAATTTCCAGTATTTTGAAACAGATTCCTTTTACCCCCCCAATGGTGCCCTTTTAAGGCACATAGTTATTTCACACCATTGGGTAGAGAAAGAAAGATTGTGGACCCTTTACCATCCTTGTGGGACTACATTCTATGTTATTTGGCAGATGTATAAGGATATCAATAATCACAATGATAAGTAATAATAGCTGCCCTTGCATTAGTTAAAGGGAGAATTTTTAATCATTCAGAAAATTTTGTGACATGTAAAGTGCAGTTGTGAGGAATGTGTGGGTGTACGAAAATGTATCTGTCAAGTTCAGAGTCCTCTAGGTTTTAAAAAAATATATATATGACTTAACAATGGTGCCGTTATAGCCGTGTCCAACAATGGGTGTGCCCATTTTCACAATGATCCTTAAAACAAATCTATGTTCAAATGCTTTAAAAATTTATCACATGATAAAGGAGTATAACTTTGTCAGCCTTCTAGAGTTATTTTTCCTTTTACTTTCTTTCTTATATATTTTTCCTTCAAATTTCAATGAAGACTTGATTTCTGTCAATAATTGTATCAAGGGTGAATATACTACCTGAATTTTGTGCATGTTACATTGTAGTTGTAACCTTTTCTAATTCAGGATGAATATGAGATGGTTGTGATTGTGCAGTGTATCAATAAAGTTTGAAGAACTTTGTAACTTTTAGGGGGCTGTTTATTAGGATATCATTTGAGTTCCAGGAATGAAAAAACAAGTGAAGAAGATTATGTTTCTCTCATGTGTGTGTTTTAGACTTTGAAGACCAAATGCAATCCAAAAATTGAGAATAATCTCCCCCATCTTCCTCCCCCTATCTCTTCCTCCCTTCCTGTCCTATTTCCTCTCTCTCTCTCTCTCTCTCTCTCTCTCTCTCTCTCTCTCTCTCACACACACACACACACACACACACACACAAAGACACAGAGGGCAGAAAGCCTTCTAAGCACTTTCTTTCTATATTATGCTATTTACAAATAATATGAAATGCAGTTGAAGCCTTGAAAACTAAACTATTTATTTCATAGGATAAAATGAAATCAGAACAGATAGTTCTGAAAAATAGTGACCAGATACTGCTAACTTTGGGCATTACACTTCTTAATAACCCTGCTGCTGGGTTCCACTAAAGTAATACTGCTTTGAAGAGGATGGATATGAACAAATACATGATGATGTACATTTATTCTTGAAAGTGTGTGCATGGGATTAATTTTTATTATTTTAGGCTTTGCTGGAATATATATCCAAAAGTAGCATGAGAGAGAGCCCTAGAGAAGATGCTTCACTCATCTAGTTGCCATTTCTAAAGCATCATTCTCTTCCAAAATAATTCTAACTCCTCTTCCTTTGTCAGACATTCATCTGCTTTTCTGAAAGAATGAATATTAACCTATTTCTTACAATTCAGTTTCTCTTCAATAATTTGTAGCTCTATGAAGCCTTTCTAGTTCTGCCATTAACCAAGAATGTGAACTTCCAAAAGTTTGATCTTAGCTTTTGCTTCCTCATCTGCACCATTTGTGAATTTATTTACACCCTGCTGAATACTTTAATTCAAATTCTTTTTTTTAACCTGTCCCCACTGGATTTCTCAGTGTTTTCTCTAAATAAAGCCTAGACAATAATTGGCAATGGTTTGGAAACTCAGTAGAATGTGGATTAAGATTCTTCAGTTTCATAACACAAGCAGCTTTTCTGGTAAACACCCTGAGCTAAAGTTATGGAGTTGATATTTCTGTCAACTTCATATTTAGGCAAGGGCTAATCAGGAATTTTTATGACTCAGTCTACCCCCCATGGGATGGAATATAGACAAATTGATAGACTAGATGTATGCTCTTTGTAAATGAAAATGGCAAGTAAACACTAGATACCAATGATTGAGAGTTTTCCAAGTTCCTTAGGCTTATTGTAAAATCATGAGTTGTGGATGTAGAGGAATTGGGATTCTATTCCCCTGACCATCTTCATACCTCCTGTACTCCCTTTCCCTCTCTTTGTTCTCCTTCTTTTTCATCATCCTCTTCCCCTTTACAGGTGACCTTCTTCTGCTCCTGTTCAAACTGCAACATTTACTCACCCATTTGCTCTTTTGCTGGCATGGGCATTTATCAATCTTTCACTCCATCTGGCCACTCAGCTCCATCAAACATCAAGGTACCGATTTGTACTTCCATCAGCTAACCACTCACCTAGCCATTCAGATATTATTTTCCCATTTATGTAACCCTAATTTCATCTACACAATCATGTACCTCCCTAATGTGACTGTTCCTCATCTATTTATTTAAGCCATCTATCCATTCCCTACCTGTCAATCCATCTAGCAAGCATCCTTCAACTCGCCTTTGGCAGACATTCCTATTTCCCAGTCCACTTCAAGGTAATGAAAATCTTCGCTGTTATCTCTCTATTCCACAAGGGAGGATTTATCTAGTTATTCTTAAGCATAGCCATTAAACTATTGGATGTGTTTTTCAGTATCTTCAACCAAAATATACTCTATTAAAAACACATACAGACAGAAGTGGTTTTGGAGATATATTTAGTGCATGTATTTCCCTATCAAATTAGGAAGAGGATGGAGAATTGGGTGTGGATTGGAAACACCCAGATGAGCAAATGTGCATGCTTAACTTTCTAACACTAGGATTGCAATCAGCAAAGAGCACAACAAATTACAGTGAAAAAATAAAACACAAGAGACAGTACTTGGCAACCACCATTTTTTTCCACAGTTTGGATTGCTGTTGAAAAAATTACTTACTTTACTGAAAATTCAGGAGGCAAACAATTAGAGTTGGAACTAAACTCTATGATCAGTTTTGAAAACCAAAATGCTAAAGATACAAATAACACTACCTTCTTTAAAGATGTTTGTCTTGTCATTAGGAAATCTTCATTTTTGCCTTACATTTCTCCATTTATTCATTGTTCATGCATCACATTTAGTTGGAAAGTCCCCTTAAGGAGTTTGTATTTAAGATATGAAAATAGTTGTATAAAGAGAAAAAAATACAGTATTGTATTGCAAGTATAATGATAGAGATGTAAGAAAATGGTTGCATACCACAAAACAAATATTGAGAGATAATTAGAGAGCTTTTTTATTCCCCCAATTTTTCCCCAGGGATAAAAAGATGGAATGTAAACAACTAAGATAAGCAGTAGACTAACATAAAGCTATATGACTATAAAAAGAAAGTTTAACAGGATCCTGGTGCATTCTATATTCAGGAATTTATGATGGAATCAATAAATATTTGTGAAATTAATGAACAGTATAAAAGGAGTTAAAATTATAAATGACCAACAGTCTACATTGCAGTAGATGATGAAAGTGGTACAAGACCTCCTGGAAAAGAGAGAGTAGCATGTAGAATGCCAAACCTGTAGAATATAAAGTTCCTTTCCCATGCAGGATTACTGATCATATTATGTTCCCTTGAGCCTCAAAGCTCCCTAAACTCTACTCATGAAGAGGAAACCATAACTGGGAATGGGATCCTGGCACACACATGTGAAGGATGCTGGCCAAGGTTAAGTGTAGACCTGTTAAATGCTTCTCTAAGCTGACCTTTTCCAGATAAGACTTACCTAAAATGCTGTATTCCAGGACAAAATACTTGATTTATTTGCATGTAAGTGTTTAAAATCATCTCTTACTTCAGAGATAGTAACCGTTGTTTTTCTTCTATCCATTAACTGCTATCTCCCATGAAATACATCCCTTCACTTACATTGGAGTCCTCAAATGAGATATTTTCTTCGGAAGTATAGTATGATGCAGTCTGGGGGAACTATTTTTAATTTTTTTTAGTTGTAGATGGTCACAATATCTTTATTTTTGTTGTTTATTTTTATGTGGTGCCAGGGATCAAAAACCCAGTGCCTCACACATGCTAGGCAAGTGTTCTACCACTGAGCCACAACTCTGGCCCAAACTATTTTTTAATTTATGACCAATAAATGACTGGTTATGTTGTCTTGGACCACCTAGTTGCTGTCTCTGGACTTCAGTCTAATCTTTGCTAATGTGGTGCTCTTAATACCCACCACAGAAGAATGACTATGAGAAGTATTAGATATTAGATGTAAATAGGGGAGTTAGTATAGTATGTGGTACATATTAGTTGTAAATTAAACATTAGTTTTTGTGTTCTTCCCTCAGACTTTACTCAATGTTCCCACTATTCCTGAGCTTTCATTTCAATAATATTTGATTTGTGAAAAATAAACCCATATTTTGTATGCTATTTCTTTGTTAAAATTAAAAACAGAAATACAGGGGCTGGGATTGTGGCTCAGGGGTAGAGCATTTGCCTAACACATGCAAGACCCTGAGTTTGATCCTCAGCACTACATAAAAAATAAATGAATAAAATAAAGGTATTGTGTATAACTACAACTAAAAAATAAATATTAAAAAAAAGCAGAAATATATTTCTGAGTCATGGATTATTGAAGGACACAGGCTTAGAAATTGACATCAATTAGATATTTTTCTGGTAGGATAACATAAGAGTGTTGAAGAAAAAATAGAAAGAGTATAACTTTCTTTTCGAAAAAGGTATTATGTAGTTATAAAAGACAAGGACAGAGCATACAAACTGGAGAGAGGGTCTATCTTCAAGAGTGTTCTAGCCCAGACTTAAAAGTACAATACCGGCTGGTGCTGAAGCTCAGTGGCAGAGCACATGCTTAACATGCAGGAAGCCCTGAGTTCAATCCCCAGAACCCCCCCAAATAATATAAAAGCCCAATACAGCATGCTAGGTTGTTATGCAAGGGCTAGACCAGCCCATTAGAGTTCACATAACCCAGATAGTGGAACTTCAGTCACTCTTCTGGAAGGGAGTTGTGTGTGCTGAGGCTTAAAGAAATTACCCGGGGGAAAGGAGAGAAAAGAAGCAAGTGGCAAACAGCAGAGGAGCATCCTTGACCAGCACATAGAGGTGTAAGAAGTGTAGCAAGTTCATAAAACTACAAGTGCAGACAACCCCCAAGAAGGGGGAGGGCCAATGCAGTGTGGCAAAAGAAAAGTGGAAAGGGTGGACAAGGTCTAGATCCTCAAAAACTTTACAGGGAATATTAATCTGGATTTTCCCAGAAAAGAAAAAGAGAAGACACTGTAGGATTTCAGTGGAGTGACCAGATTATGTTTGCAATTTAGAAAGATCTCTCGGACCACAGGTAGATTAAGTAGGCATCTGTTGAAATGATAGGAGGAAAACATATTGGGGATATTTCAAGTAAGAAGGGATGAGGAGAAATGAGAAGCAGCAGGCAAGTTGGGATGGCTTTTAGAGGGGTAATTTGATGGAAGGGACTGGAGGCAGGTGTGATGGAGGATGCCAATTATGGGAAATGGCCCATGTTTTCAGTTGAGCCAAATGGGTGGAAGATGAATGATTCTGAACACTCAGAAGGAGGATATGATTCCATGCAGTTTTTGGCATATTCAAGGATCTGTAGAACCTCCAGGTGGAGATGTTTAAGCAACATCAGCATTTTCCTGAGTCATCTAATTATATCCACTGCCATCCACAAGGGATGCCTGATTTCCTTTCTTTGCCTCCCACTTTAATTCCATAGGAACTTTAGCTCCTTGGATCATCCATCTGCAATTCATTTCTCATCCTCCATTTCCTCTATCTCTTGATT